CGCCTCGGTTTCCAGAGCTGCAGCACGCACCCAGCCAGGCAGCCCCTGGACGACAGAAACGACCCCACAGCCCTGAAAGAGGAGAGCAGGTTAGCACCCCGGGGCGCACGACCGGGCAGCAAAGGGAGGTGGGGAGAGCGCGGGGTGTCGGGGAGGGCTCCGGCAGTCCCGGGCTGACCCCTCCCCTCCTGGCCCCTGCAAGAGAGAGCAACCACAGAGCAGCTTCTCAGCGTGCAAACTCACCACTGCAAACAGAGATTCACAGGGCACGGGAGGAAGGAGCCTGGAGGAAGCAACATGCCTCAAAATGGCATAAACATTCAGTATGATTTCAAACTTTGCAGAAAATAATCAGCTGTAAGAGCTCCTTCTGCTTCAAGCTTAATGGAAAAAAAAAATATGCTATGGTATGGTATTGATCAATACAGTGTTTTATTGATTTGAGGATGTGATTTGCTCCAGGGTTGTATGTAGAAAATATAAAGCAGTTCAAAACATCAAAAACTGAAAATTCCACATATGCAACCTTTTATCATTTTCATAAAACTACCTGGCAGCTGCATCCAAGCCAAAAGAGGGGAAGAAAAAAAGAAAGTTTTTGTCTGGTTAGTGCTGGTAACCTGCTGCTGGCCCTGCAGAGCCCAGGCTGCTTTTTTGGGCGTGTGAGTATCAGAAGTTGCCCAGTGAAGGCACGTCCTGGCTGTGGGGGTTACAGTGCCTGGCTGAACAGCAAAGCAGAGCACTGAAGGTACAATGGAAGCACCCAGGGCCAGTGAAGAACACCCAGGAGGGAGGCCCCAGCTCCCTGCAGGGAGAGCAGCCGGGCTGGGAGCCTGCTCGGCGTCGTCTCCACCACCAGGCCCTGACTCCCTGCTGCAGCTGATCCTCCCCCAGCGTGACGCTGCCAGGACCCCAGCACAAATTTGGTGCCTTGCAGAAACCTGCAAAAGAGTTTGGGTTTTTTTCCAGACTGCCTTTGAAGTGAAGCCCCGCAGTGCTGGGAGCTTGCCTGAGCTCTGCTGCGACCAGAGATTCCCACTCTGGTTTACTTTGCCAGCTGGTGGCAAAGGCCCCAAGGGGTAACTGTGGGGTCCCCCCACGCTCACACTCCTGCTGCTCCATCACCAGACAGGCACGTGCCACTTGGCATGGGAGGGACCACAAGAACCAGTCTGTGCCCATCCTCCCTGCTCTCCACCCCGAGAGGTACCTTGTGTCCTCCCTGCAGCACCTCATCTCACCACACCCAGGGGAGCTGGGGCTCAGCCATTGGCACCTTCACGCCTCGAGCAGGACCACGGTCAGAATTCAGCCGAGAGCCAGGTCCTGCCTGTCCTCCTCCAGCCAGCCCAGCAGCACCACACCACAACTGCAGCCAGACCCAGCCTCTGGAGCCAAGCCCCGATGCCAGCAGCAGACCAGGACCTTCACGGCTGCTCAGACTCCACTTGCTGCAGGAGACATCCCATCGGGTCAGCTTCAGCCTTGTGGGAAACACCAGGGAGCAAAGAGAGCCAAGGACAGTCAAAAGGAGATGAGGTGGGAAGAGAAACAGGGCTGGAGCTCAAGGAGCAAAGGGAGAAAAGCCAGAAGAGCTGAGATGTGGCTGTGCCATCAAGCCTGCAAGGCTTTGAGTGCCCAAGGTCCCGGTGTCCTGACCTCCTGGTGCCTCCAGGTCCCAGCCCAGCCCCGAGCAGCAGCCAGGTCTCTGCCTTCGCCTCCAGGTGACACACCAGGGGTGGCACGGTCCCTGCAGGGCTCCTCTCCCCAGCACAGAGAAGGAGGAAAAGGTGGATTTGAGGGCACGGAGCAGGAGTGGGGAAGGGCAGGCGGGATGTAGGAGCCGACTTCAGGTGTAGAGCTCTGCCAGGCAAAGGGTGAAGCAGTTCAGATGAAGTGTAAGCCCACCTGGCTGGCTGGCAGCATGCCCCTGGGGCAGGGCCGGGTGTCGCTGCCAAGGGGTTGTCCCGAAGCAGCTGCACAGAGGGTCTGTCTCTCCTGCAGCCCCAGCACGTGCAGAAGGAAGGAGCTGATGGTGGCAGCAGGCTCCTGCCTCAGTCCCAGAGGGATGTGGAGCTGAACAAATGGTCCCTGAAGGCCACATTCATCCAGATGAACACGTTCCAAGGCATTGTCCTACCGAGCCAGGGGCTCCTCCTGAGCAGC